AATTAATGACAAAATAAAATTTTATAAACGCAATACACTTAATTATAAAAATTATGATTAAAAAATCAGGAAATAAGGAGATAATTAGATAATAAAATAGGAGATAATAAAAATATAAAAATGAAAAAAATTAATAGTTTAAATAACTTAAGAAACTTTGATATTTAAAAGAAAAAAAATCTAATACAAATCAAGAGCATGTTATCACACTTAACATTAAAACATTACGGGTAAATGACAACATAAAAAAAGATTAACCCTTTTGTTGGTTTACTTTTAACAAATAAAACAACCAACAGTGAACTTAAAGGAAATTATTAATTATTGGTTTTATTTCTTGTTTAAAATGCTTCCCAACTGCATTCCTCAAGTCCAACTCTCTTGCTGCCGGGAAGTTGGTCATCACAGCATCTGCCAAATAAGAAAGAAAAATAAAAGCACAAGAAAAGCTTGACATAGTTTTTTACTTTAATTACACTAATTGTGACAGGGAGTCATTCTCTTTTGCTTGGATGCCTACTAAAAACAAAAACGAGATATATATAGTGTATCACCATTCAGTGTGTTAAAAAAGAGAGAAGCTCTCTGGTAAATGTTGTGTGTTTTATACACATACCTCTAATGACCGAGAACAGTGCAGTCTTTTCAAATGCCTCTTTCTGCAGCGGACCACCCCCCTTTGAATTTGGACATGAGGGAATTTTTTAAAACCCTGAAATATAACACAGATTGAGGTGGTTAAAAATTGCGGACAAAGTTTGACATTTCAAAATGACCAGTAAAGGAATTATTTTTAAATTTTTTGATTTGCGTTGTAACTTATTGAGTACGCACACCACAATGTTTGATTAATGTGGCAAGACCCGGATCGCTGAGGTGTGTGCTCCTCCTGTGTTCATTGCAGCTCCTGTAAATCCAAAGACTCTGATTACTCCACACATCATATTCTTTGAACTGTTCTATGAACTATTCACGCACCATCACATCACCTGGACCCTACACCCGGACTCTCTGTGACCAAATAAAACTGTTTATAACAGATACTTACAAGACCAAGTAGGAATGTCCTTTATCATTTGTTGTTTGCCCGCTGCTCTCTGACAGGAAAACTTAGTGCTCTCTCGTGTAAAAACAAAATTCAAAACACAAAATTGATCTCTACTAACTCTCATGTCTCGCATTGCCAGTAGTCATTTCTCAGTAGGGCTACAATTGCTATCTAGCGGTTGGAAATTGTAATTGCATTTTTATTTATAAAATGAAAGACGGCCGAATATCAATAATATCATATAATGTAAGGCTATTTTGGCTATGCTCATCGCTGGTCTGGTTACTGGTATAGGGCTATAGCCAAGTCGTTAAAATTAGAGCACAGATTCCCTCGATTTCGCCAGGTCGGCTAAAAGCAGACTAATCGTAGCCCGTCCAATTTAGAGCTAAATCGTGGGTACATATAGACCATGTCAAGAAATGACACTTATATCTTTGTAGATATTATTGACACTGCGAACATGATGGGATATCAACCATCTCATGCGCTGCCTGGCCAAAAACTACAGTGAATCAGGTTTGACTATAAGTGGGCTACAGATAGCCGCTCTGACTACGAGCTAAATCGTGGCTACGCACAGGCTAAGTATTGAACATGTCAAATAAATGAAACCAAACACCTTGTAAACTCTGTTACTTTGTTTGCATGATGGAATAGCATACATCTAACAAGTTATTTTGCCAAAAAACTAGAAGTGGGTTACACATAGCCGGACTATTTCGGGTCTATACTTAACCGAGACGTTGAAATGACGGCTATTGCTTGCTGGGTAGTTACTCCCCAACACTGCCCTTCTACTTTATGGATAAACATTTCTTGAATTTCTCAAATTATCTTCTTTTATGTTCCACAGAAGAAAGAAATTTATACAGGTTTGGAATGACACGATGGTGAGTAAATGATGACAATTTTAATTTTAATTGTAACTATCTCTTTAAGAACTTTAACATTTTGTAAATACTTAACACCTAATTTATACAAGACAGTATTTATCTTTAATCAGGCTTTTATTGAATTAACATTTTACTTCAATTAAAATTAATTAGAACTTTACATTTAAAGAGAAAGACGCTATTAAAGCAGGGGCGTGTCTAGAGCATTTTAAAAGGGGGGCCCAGTCTGGGTCACTACCTCAAAGGAGAGTTTTTTGGCCACACACACACGTTGCAAAGTTTCGGGAATGACATCTGCATATTTATGCGGGATTCGCTCTCAAAGTTGCAGTGTTTGACATGGTGATAACCATAGCAATAGACGGGACAAAATATGTGAAAATGTGCATTAGAGCACCCTCACTAATTTCAGAAGCACCCTTATTTCTGGAACCTCGTTGATACACTTTTGTTGTATAACTATATACATAAAACAACAAAATACAAATGCACTAAATAAAATAATTTAATAAATGCATATTTACAATTTAAGCACTTAACTAAAATAAGTATTAATAAAATAAATAACTAGAAAAGGCTGACTATATTCAGCTTGCTTCCATTTAGTGAGAAAAGCCTACTCTTCACCTGAATTAGAAAAAAAAACTCCTCTGGTCTTCAGTGATGCGAGGACAACGTTTGAGCGTACACGTAATATCTGTGTGAGAGCAGAGCCAATTCTTAAAAGAACAATGCATATTTAAAAGCACACGTCCAGTTTTGTGTGAGTGAAGGAAATCTGCTTGCGAGTGGAGATTCGTGCTCGCGCATTAGGCCTACATGGATCGCGTCTATGGGATTACATCTCTGCCACAATTCTGCGCGCGAAAGATCATATTTTGAGAGCGCAAAAGTGCGTTTTGTGGAGAAAATGTTTGTCTCGCAAAGAACAAAGTATTTAGAGCGCACGAAAATCTATTTTGCATTTAAAATAAGTTTTTGGATGTGTGCAGACC